TGGAGTGTCCCTTGAGTTTGTTTTATTTTTGTCTTATTTTATTGCTTGTTTTAACAGTAGCAAAATAACTGTTTTGTGTTTACACTTTGAAATCTGGAGTGTTAACCAGCTCTCCTGTTGAAATATCTACTTAATATTTCTCTCCTTTATTGCTGCCTTTTACTACAGTGGCAATCTTAACTGTATATCACTTTTTCGCACTGGAGTGACAACCAGAAATGCTTGAGAAAAAATAATACTCTATTTTCTTACTTCTCTAAGGGGGGCAAAAAGTTGCAGAAAGGGTCTCCCTTTTATACTCCTTGGGTCGCCTTCCTTTTTCACGCTCTACCTTCTATTTACAGGATTTATTTACAGTGTATTTTTCTCAAACTGAATAAAAAATGAAATTTTCATGCTATAGTTCTACTGCGCTTATGCTGCACTGAACTGCAGTTCTACTGCGGTCAGACTGCGCCTAGAATTCTTATTGTCCTCCCTTGCCTAAGCTATTTTAATGGTTAATTGGAACTTGACTGCGCTGTATTTGTCGCAGTTACCTATTTCAAATTCCCTATATATACCATTAAATTTGCTATGACTCGATGATTCTGAATTCAAACTTCGCATTACTATGCATACGGCTGTGCTGAGACCTTCAGCTGATTTATTCCAATTTTATTTAGTGACATTTAGTTAAAATGAGACTGAAATGATAAATGAGTGAATTATTCAGGTTTAAAACTGAAAGAAAAAGTTGCTAGTAGTCAAGAATTACTCAAACGAATGTGTTATAGCTCTCCACTTCATTAGAACATCGTTCCCTAAAATTCCTGCCATGGTCTGTCGTAGTTTAGTGGTTTTCGTGAATTTCGTTCATATTCCCTGATTCCCTTTTGTATTATCACATCCTAATCCTCCATATGTATTGTTGGTTGTTATAGTAGGTTGTCCTTGAAGATATCATATTTTTATGTATTTTATTTAGGACTCTGGACCTCTTGAAGCTGTCTTCCCATGCGTTTTCAGGTTTCTAACTTCAGGTCCTTGTATCTCATTCATTTCTGGATGTTTTCTCACGTTCTTGGTATCATAAATTTTTATTTATTCCCACCTTTCCAATGGTACTAAGATTGTGTCCTATTTCCTGGTATTCGTTGAGTTAGCAAAGATTCATGTGCACATTCGGTAATCACATGCATCGTTCCCATAGTCGTTCATATGCGGGAGCCGTTTTCGTTTAATTGTTCGGGATTTATGATATGCGTGGGTGTTTATTTCTTTCATATGGGCTTCTGTGATTTATTTCAGATTTTTCCCTCATGATCTAAGGTTGTTTTGCACTTTCCGTGCTTTGTTTTGACCAGGCTCTTCCTTATTTGGATGGAAATTGGTCTTCGCAATCTGCCGAAGTGCGGATCTCGGTTCCGACGGCCAGTTCCCTGCACATCGCCACCCTCACGTGTCATTACACATGATGCGGATTTCTATATTCCCGTCATGGGTATAACTTCACAACGGCTGGACCGTTTGGGCTGAAACTTTGCATAACTATAGTTCCCCATTTTTAATAATTTCTGTATAAATTTCGTTGTATGTTTTAATTATGGATCTTATGCAAACATCGTCTTTTCCCTGAGCTCGGACTTTTGATGTTGCTATTCCCGTTATTGGATATCTCATTAACGCATGATCCTTTTATTATGAAACTTTGGGAGGATTAAGTTTAGATCCCTTCCTTTCTAATGGGCTATCAAGCTTGTCTCGGTCGTTACTAGTTAATCTTCACGCTTGCCTTTTAGACATTGTCCTCGTTTTGCAGGAGTTTTAGTCATATCTCCGTCGGTTATCGGTAGTTTCCCCTGTAATCACTCTCATTGGTTCCTTTTGGGGGACATCTACATTTCCTATTATAAACACGACTTTGACTTTTGCATTAGTTCCTGAGGAATCTTTGTTCCGTGGTACTTCCATCCTTGGCTACGTGTGTGGACGTGGGAAAGTAGTTTCCATGGAGGTTCTCTGGTTATTTTTATAGTCAAATCTTGGTCAATTGTCCTAATTCTTGGTTTAATATTTGCTATAAATTCCCCCGAGAATTCCGTCTCGTTGATGGTGAGCTTGAAGTATTTTTGCTATTTTTCTTTCTTTCGATTTATCGTGTATAGTCATAATAATTCGTAAAAATTCAGGTCCTTCTATTTTCTCATATCTACTTGTCGTATGAGGTTTTGTGATTTATCTGGCATTTTTCCATAATGGGTTTCCATAGCGTGGCCGTTATTTCTCCTACACCGCTGGGAAATTCACTTGCTTGCCCTGCAAGCCTACCTTCAGGTTGATCCCTCCTTTCCATTTCTGGGTTATAGCCCACCACTCCACTAACCCTGTAACCTGACTCATTGGTAATATTCAGTCAGCTAACATGTAACTCCATTAGCTCCACTCCACTTGGTCCCACCATTCACAGGCCTGCCCCCTATGTAACTATATATACATAACTTGTAGATAGGTTACACCCTAGTGATAAAATTGACTAGAGTTTCCCTCTTCTAGTTCTCTTTGCCAGTTAGTAAATTAGGGCATGGACATGTAACTAGGCACAGCGCTCCTGGTCTAAGTCGCTGAGGCCAAAGCTGTAAGGTCGGTGTGGGTTCTGACCTGGGTGACTCCTCAGTCCTCTGGCTGTCAAGATCGTAGCCTGTATTGAGCTTAGATTTGACAGGGGTGAGGGTAAAGAGTAAAGAACCCTTTACCCGAGCCCGAGCCATACAAATGTAAATACAGTTGTTTTACATTGTATACAACAAGAATAAAGATGAATAAAGAAACAGCTGCTCCACCCTCCATTCCTTACAAAAGCCCTCTGCCACGGTGTTACAGATATGGAGTCTCCAACGACCATATCCATTGCATGGTCACGGACTTCTCCTCCCTATCACTTCCCCTCTTTCTCTCTTTTGTCCTCTATCCCGATACCCTACCCTCCTTATTCGTTCTACCCTTTCCTCCCCCCCTCGTGCAAAGCTTTCCCCATTGGGGTTTTGGTGCTGGCCAAGGTTACTTGTGTTTCACGGGATTTCCCGCAACCTTACCATTTGTAGATAGTCACGTGTCTTGTATGGAAACCGCCGAAGGCGGTTCCCGCTAACTAACAACTGCTCTACAACTGTCTTGTGTGTCGTCTTCTGTAACAACCCTCCCTGTGACTCAACCGAACGCGTGTGATTGTACAACTCTCAACATGTCTTATATGTCTGGTTATATCGAGTCCTCTAATGGCCCTCGCTGTGAGAACTCGAGGTTGCGAGTCGAAGACTCTCGACATGTATTTCGTCCTACGGAATCTGTACCCTATGGGTCCTCATCACTCCGCTCTCCCCCCAGTACTCGACACACAACGTCACATCACAATCATAGAGATCGTGAATACTCTGAGGCCCACTTTCCCGTGATGCCGGCACATTCACTACATGAACGCCAAGTAGCCGCCCATCCACTGTCTGTTTCTTCCTTCATCAGTCATCATGTTTCCCCGCCAATGGTACGTTCCCTTTGGGAATGCCAAGTCACCAAAGGCCCTGTTAGTCAATCCTCATTGCACGCATATGATATCAACCTGCTACCGGTACGTTCACACTGCGAACGCCAAGTACCTGATGGCAGCTATACAAAGTTCTCACCCATCTCACAAGTTGCGACCTTGCACACAGTACGCTCCATTGAGGAGCGCCAAGTACCCATGGCTGACTCGTCCATCCTGATATCTACGACTACCTACCATCAATCCCTTAATAGCTCACTACATCACCAATCACGATCGATGGGAATTCGATCGTCCCCTCCCAGACAAGACTGGGACCACTCATCGATTACTTATCCCATTATGGTACAGACTAGACATGACCTTCATCTTCCCACTATAAGAACAGATCGAGGAATGGGGAATTTTCCTCATCCCCATAACACACAGGGACGTCTCCTTCATCCCGTATCCGGTCTCTGACATATATATATGATACCATGCAAAGGGTTGGATAGTGCACAGATGCATTGGAGAGACCGGATTAAAATGGAGGTGGGATCACTGAAGCAGCTGGTGACTCATAATCCAACAGGGAGATCACTCTCACCCTACTCCAAAGTGCTGATGCTTAAAATACCACAGCCATTGGGGGCCCAGTGTGCAAAAAGGATAAAATAGTTCCCACATGCCACCAAAGAGTTGGCATCTTTGGCCTTTGGACATGTTGGATGGCAGCAGCGATGAGTTGCATAATCCATTTAGAGCCATGTGGTGTCGGTGATAAGGAGCCAGCTGTGGCCTCAAGTGTTGGGCTAGTTTGGGACTAGTTTGGGACAGTCCATCGTGAATGCTTCTCAACTCCCATCTAACCTGAACTCTTAAGTGTCCCTCAACTCAGGTCACTTTAAGTCTAGTTTACAACCCAGTTTAGGACCACTTTAGCTCATTGTGAAACCCCCTATTGTAACAGCGTGCCTTTGTGCACTTGTCTATTGTTTACAAAGCTGCATGTGTATGCTGACTTCAGTGTACATTTACTTCTGTATATAGAGTGGCATGGGGTGTAAAAATGGCTCTTCAGCCTGTTTACTCCCCCATTGAATATTACAGTGAATATCTTTGATGGACTGGGAACCAGGCCCTCAACTCAATTAAGCTACACACTTCAGGTAGATACTACCCATGACTACTATCCACCTTACAGTTTTTTTTTGCTTGGTGAGTTCCTTTCAACTTTGCTGCTTCTTGATCAATGTTGATATGTGCTGATCTTGAACCTGCCAGACCTTCAAATGAGACCTAGAAGGGTAGCTGGGACACCTTCTGTGGAGCAGAAGGTCAATAGGTCTATGTGCACTCCTGTGCCAAAAACCCACAGCTGGAAACAGCCAGCTCAGCTCCTGTCAGGCTGAGCCATTAGATGCACCCTTGGCATCTAATTCCCAGTCCTAATCAGGCTGGAGCCATGCCACTTCCCCTGTGCATGGCGAGGACGATGTCAGGGGATGACTCCTGGGTCCCCATGACCCTCCCCAATGGTCCACAGCCTACTGGTGTAACCAGCCCTATCCAGGGCACAACCTACTGTGGGTAAGAAGATGAGAAGGAAGCTAACTTCTCATCTTCCCACAGTGGCCACCATATCAGGAAAACTTCCGGGGATACCCGGAAGTCACATGAAGGGGTAGGAACTGGGCCTGGAGCATGCGGCACGTGGAGCATGCATGCATGTGGGAAGCGTGGCAGGTGGAAGCAGGTCCAGATGCGGGTCCAGGTCCGGGCTTAGTCAGGGTGTGTGCCCTGACAGTCGATACCCAGGCAGAAGGACCATCCCTTAAACCTGGGGATGACCCCAAAGAGGTGTTGACAGGAGGTGATCCCATCCCAGATGCATCAGGTCAGCAGGCGCCAGATCCAGTGCTGCCTATAGACAAGCCACCTGACACAAACACAAATGATGCGCCAGAACCAGGCACATCGACCTTTGCCCCCTCCAGACCCTGGAGACCCTGGAGACTCATCTGCAGGCCCAATCCCATAGTTGTTGAGGCTATGAACAAAAGTACGATGGTGGATCATAACAATTCAACCATCGATCTTCCCACAGGAGTGCCTCCAGGCACATTGCTCCAGAACCACCCCCTCCCAATGGAGAGGGTATCCAACCTGATTCTCCGATTGCAGCTAATGCACTTGGGACTGCCACTCCCCCACCCCCACTCGAAAGGATGGGGATGGACATCAAAAACAACCCTTGCCATACAACAGCTTATGCTGGTCACTGAGCAGCTTATAGTCAACAACTGCCTAATCCAGATAATGCTGGACTGTCTGGATACCCATGCAGAATGTCTAGCATGGGTTGACGCTGCCTTTGGTGATGCTGTAGGAGTGCATAACGGGTGTGCTCAATTTCATGGAACCTTACACAGCAAATACATCAAAATTGGGCCCCACCCTTGTACATTATTAGGAAAAAGTAATTATAGAGGGAAGTAATAAGAAAGAAGAAAGACGGTTTTCGTACGAACCGAAAGAGCCTTTCCACAAAGGAATTGGTTGAGATTTGGTGGAGAAATTCAACCTGAGAAGTCCTCATGTGCAAAGTCCATGCACCTGACCATGACCAAGGGGGCAGGGTCAAAAGTTGTCGGAAGAGGACAATATTGAGGTCATTAAATCCAGAAAAATGTCCAAAGTCTCAGTGTTGAATTTCACCCTAATCGGTTCAGTGGTTGTGGAGATATTCTGATTATCAGGCATGATGGGAGTCATGGGACGATATGAACTATTTGGATGCTCACATGCAAGCTAGTCTCAGCGAAATTCCAAGGGAATATGGGCTAGATAAATGATACAAATGCTAAAGAAGTCATTGGAGGAGTCTTGGAATTATGGCATATTATTTGGTCCAAGTTTCCCTGTGCATGGATAATCAAGATATATATTCCATGACTGAGAATTCCCATTCCTCCACCAAATTTCACAAAATCAGTATTGTTAGATAGCTATGGATGAGGAGAGTCGAATGGAATAAAGGGATGGAGTTTGATGCAGTGTTTGGAGTGGTATGAGGAAGTTTGTGCTTTTCTTTTCATTTTCTTTTGTTGTTTGGGATTTTATTCTAAGCCAATGGCAGCCGAACCTTACCGCCATTGTTGGTGGAGGCTTAGCTCAGCCAAACCCATATATTTCGGACTTTTTTCAATAAGTTGTATGTCTGGTGTATGGGTATATGTACATAGTGATTGAAACGGAACAGAGATTCCCCCTCTCCCTCCATTTTTGAAGTCTGTGTACTTAGTGTGTTGTGAGTGGCCACTTGACTGGTAAGGGAAACAGAGGCCCTTAGGGAAATCCACCATGACAAGAAATTGAAGATTACTTAGTGTTACCTTGAGTTTTTTCCCCTAGTTGTTTTCACAGACCTGTCAATCATGATACCCCTTGTCATATCCATACATACCCAATCCCGATCTGACTCCCAGACCCCCATCTTCACCACCTCCGGAGTCCTACCCTACTGCCATCTGTTCCGATATTCACCTTCGGACCTGACACCACTCCTCCTCTTACCCCTTACGACACCTCCACCCTTCCATCACTCTCCTACCCTACTCCCATCCACTCCGATACTCACCTTTGGACCTGACACCTTTCCTCTCCTCCACTCCTCTCCCTGCTCCTCTCTTCTCTCTCCTCCCTCTGACCCTCTTCCACCAAACCTCCGGCAAGTTACGACCTTCCGCTGTTGTCCCATACCCTGTACTCAGACACCACTTGTACCTTTGCTCCAAGATTCCATCATAGTTCTGACCTTGGACTTTGACTCCACCTCGGCTTACAGTAAGTCCATTGCATTGGTGACCTCATACTATGTAAACACCATTGCCAACATTCCTCGGACTTTCAACCCCGCCTCCGTAACCTCTGTAAGCTCTGCAACCTCCAAGCTCCATGGATCATACTTGGCACTTTTGCTGTTTGTAATGTATCTTTTGCGCTTTCCCCTCATCCTTATTTGGACTGCTGCTTCTCTCCATTCTAGCCAGTTAGTCATCATCCCCACTTCACCTCATCCTCCTGCCCCTCTGGGCTTTGCCCTCCCTATCTCCTTTCGGATGCACCACAAGTTCTAACCTATGACCTTTCAGTGCCACTCCACTTCTATCATCCCTTTGTTCCTGTTCAGACACTGTTGTGGGGACAACTCTGTGCACCGCAAAAAGTCGGATTCCGCGGAATTTGGCCACCAACATACACCACATACCCTCTGACGCTTCCATTGCTTATCCCCACACTATCCAACACTCCATACACTCATTCCTTATTTTTCCTTATTTTCCCCATCATTCCTGACAACCCCAAGCAAAATTCCCATGCCCAACCATGCCGCCAATTTCACCCCCTCTCCAGACCTCCATACCCACACATACAACCCAGCCGTTTTTCTACCCGATAGTGATGCTCTACCATCCTTCTTCACCCCCGGAGCATTTCCCAGAATGGCAATCTCATACCCGGATGGTTCAGCACAGAGTAGAGTCTCACATGGTCTTGACAGCACCTGTCAATGGCCACATCTCAAGAACTACTGCACCAAATGGGATGAATAGGGGCTCGTTGGAAAGCTGGAGACGAGGAGGTTGCTGACGAGAGGATAGGCGGGCGCTGTGGCCAAGTGTTGCGGAGTTAACCTTCACAATTTCCATTTCGGACCCGTTATCACATATTCCCCATTCATTCATTTTTCTTTTATTGTTTCTTTGTTCCCAATGGGATATTCATCATTTACGGTTGCCTAACGGCCCGTTTACATCCCCCCATGCCATTCATTCCATTTCAAACACTAGATAACAGCTTGTACATAACAAGTTAGTACTGAATAGACCCGTGAAGGGATAAGCAGAAGTTACATCCAAGTGGCAAAGATGCCATCCACGACCCTAACGCCCCCTCTGAGCTAGTTGCTCACGTCTAAGACCCCTCTCATCATGGTGAGTGTTTGTTTGAGGTTTTTGCAGACTTGGTAGTGCCCCAGGACCAAAACCTGGCCCCATGAACCACACTCGTGCACACTACCACCCTCCCCCTCTTCTCTGTCTCCCGTTACAATGCCTTTGTTCCATTTCAGACCCCCTTTGATTTCCTTGTGCCTATTATATACAGGCACTTGTACATACTTGTTTTGGACCTTCAGTCTAAAATCGACCTGAAATGCCCCCTAGAGACTTCCTGCTCACTGCCCCTGAAATTAAGGACCAAATGGACAAACAGCAATGGCACAGCACTCCGCATAAGTTGCTGAGGCCAAGGTCCCTCCTTGCTAAGTCGCCGGTTCCCCTCTGGAATTGTCCGCCCTCACCCAGTTCTAACAGTGTAATTCTGTGTAGGATTGTTTAATTTGGATTTTAACTTGAATTAAATCTTTTACTTGGTGAAATTTCAAAGATTTTACTCAATTAATGAGTTTAGATCGTGTCTGAAGTGTCCCTTGACCTTGTCTTATTTTTGTCTTATTTTTATTGCTTGTTTTAACAGTAGCAAAATAACTGTTTTGTGTTTACACTTTGAAATCTGGAGTGCTAACCAGCTCTCCTGTTGAAATATTTACTGAATATTCCTCTCCCTAATTGCTGCCTTTTACTACAGTGGCAATCTTAACTGTATATCACTTTTTCGCACTGGAGTGACAACCAGAAATGCTTGAGAAAAATAATACTCTATTTTCTTACTTCTCTGAGGGGGGGGGGGGGGGAAAGTCGCAGAAAGGGTCTCCCTTTTATACTCCTTGGGTTGCCTTCCTTTTTCATGCTCTACCTCGTATTTACAGGATTTATTTACAGTGTATTTTCCTCAAACTGAATAAAAATGAATTTTTCACGCTATAGTCCTACTGCGCTCAGCTGCACTGAACTGCAGCTCTACTGCGGTCAGACTGTGCCTAGAATCCTTATTGTCCTTCCTCGCCTAAGCTATTTTAATGGTTCAATTAGAACTTGACTGTGCTGCATTTGTTGCAGTTTTCTATTTCAAATTCCTCTTATTTACCATTTAGTTTGCTATGACTTGGTCATTCTGAATTCAAACTTCGCCTTACTGCATGTATGGCTGTGCTGAGACCTTCAGCTGATTTATTCTATTTTTATCCAGTGACATTTAGTTGAAATGAGACCTGAAATGATAAATGAGTGAATTATTCAGGTTCAGAACCAAAAGAAAAAGTTGCTAATAGTCAAGAATTGATCAAATGAATGTGTTATAGCTCTCTGCTTCATTAGCATATCATTCCCTAAAATTCCTGCCATGGTCCATCATAGTTTAGTGGATTTCATCCATCTCCCCTGATTCCCGTTTGTATTATTGCATCTTAGTCCTTCATATGTATTGTTCATTGTTATAATAGGTCATTGCAAGAGGGCTTGCAGCTCTCGATGCCGACTAAGCTCGTGGGGCCAAACTCTCCCTAAACCTCTACTTTCTCTCTTGACTAGACTTATCTCGATCCTTAAACTCCATGTGGGTTCTCCAGGATTCCACAAGGTCCGGGCTCAACTAATCTACTACCCACTCGTTGTGGGCTAGACAGTTGCCCTTATTCCTAATGTTGGAATTCCACTCACTCACACCACTCTAGTGCATCCTAGCACCTTAGAGGAATTTTGGGGGAGGGGAGAACTTCTTTTCACAAATCTGGTATGTACAGGATTATATCTAATAATTATTTTTAGAAAGAATAGATGGGAAATATTGGTACCATATGGCACCTGGGTACCTTATTAGGCGAAATAATAAAAAGGGTAACAGCAGCAATAAAACAATATCAATCAATAACTGAAATGATGGTGAAATATGAAAATAAAAGAAAATAAGCGATATCTCAACGGATTTACAGAATTATGAGCCGAAATTGAAAATGTAGCCGGAGATAACTCTCACACAGCCGATAAACATTTTTACCAATTTATAGACGATGTGGGAATGAGTGAGGCTGGAATTCTGGGTTGCCACTTGAGATTCCCATGCCCGCACATGCCCATGCCTAACTTGCCCAACATAGAACTCTGTCAAATCTCCACTGATTAGGACGTTCTTGATATCGTCGGAATTGTACGAATTAGCACTATTTTTAGATACCAATTCCGTACCGAGTCGTCGCATGAATAAAAGGGGTTTTCTAATCGTGGAAACGGGTATCCGAGCCAGCGCTGCATGTGGGTGATTATCCTGCCTACATCGTCCTCAAGATATCATATTTTTATGTATTCTATTTGGGGCTCAGGAC